ATATTTTCGTGTGTAATAGTCTCTTTGCCCTGTAAACTTAATGTTTCGAGTTTTTTGATACGTTTTGTATAATTCTTGGTGTCCCTTTGATGTATTTTATAGTTAAATTCTCTTCTCCGTTTGCTTTCCGGCGATTGAGTTCTTCACTAAGTTCCTTGATTATAGATCTTTGGGTAGGAGTCTGATCTGAATATATTTTTATGTTATCAGGTAATTTATTCTTGTTTCGTAATATATATTTAACTTCATGTTGATTTTCAAAACACACCTTAAGCGGTCGGTTTTTTCCTTTAGAGTATTTGCCCAGTCGCATAGTTTTATGTATCTTAGGATTTTCAGCTGTCACATTCTGAAAAATTTTTTGAGCAATACTCAGATCCATGGCTTGGCGTGCAGAACTATCAGCATTCGTTTGTTCATTTATACCAAAGACTATAATATTCACACTTCTGTTGGCCCTTTCCTGCAGTTCATTGATGATTTCCTCGTTATCAAGAACATCTGGGATACGGGGTTTGGTCGAAATACACTCAAGCTTGCTCAATTTTGCCTCAAGCTCAGATATTTTGGATTCTGCAATGGAGTTATTCTTCTTTAGTTCTATGATTTCAGATTTTACACTTTTTTGTTCCGCTAGCATTTTACTAGTTGATGTTTTGATTTCATTAATTTGATTTTTCATTGCAGATATATCATCGCGCATCGTTGACAAGTTGCTCTCGAGTATTGAGATTAATTCCCCACGGAAGTTGTTGATTTCGGTTACGATGTCACAAAATTCTCTTTGATTTCTTTTACGATAAGTAATTTTACTTCCCGAATCATCGTCACTATCCCGAGATAAGTCCAGTTGAGCCTTGCATTTGCATTTTGAGCATTGTTTTTGACCTACTGGTCGATTTACCTTTTTTGTACTCTGTGGCGACCGTTGCGTATCCATGGTCTATTGTTTAGATGTGGTTCGCACAGGCACGGAGGTGTGAAGAGTATGAAAAATGCAGCTATTTCTTTTACCCGAGGTGAAGCGGGGCGCTTGTAATGAGGCCGGTTGATTAAACTGTTCACTCGATATTAGTAATAGCGCGCTTAGGATTTATGGCTTATTTTTGCTTAAAGAAAGGTTAAAGTTTTACTATAAATCAGTAACACGTCTGCACTATTCGAATGCCGAAGTAGTAGTGCCGAAGTAGTTAATTTTAGAAGCTTTGGATAGTTTGCTTTATGATTTGAATGGATTATAGAGGTTTTATTGGGTTACATTGAATTAAATTTATTACTTTAAAGATGCGTTACAATTTAACGATTTTAATTTATAATATATAGATAATAATTAATATGTAATGTTGTACTTAGTTATAAGTAAGTTTGTATAATTTATATAAATACTTGATAGGGGACAGCCATATGCATAAACTAATGTATTGTATTGCGATAAATACTGGCCTTATAGTTTAACCTAGGAAACTTACTTTTAAACTTATATGGTTTGTAACTTACGCTTCGTACAAAAAAATCATTTATTTTTTATATAATTAATTTAATGTAAAAATCGTATTATGTATGATATTTTGATAATTTTGAACATTTTTTATTTACGTAATAAACTTCTATCAACTTTCAAGGCTCAAAGTGTGAGGTGAGTTTAAATTCTTTTCATATAACAATAAGCGGGAGATGTTTTATCAAAATGGTTCCAATAAAATGCTCGGAATTCAATTTAAAAGGGTAATGTTGTCCCTATTAGGTATAACTCCACCTATAAACTCTACCGGTCCAATGAGCAATTGAAATATCTACGGCTGACATACTTTCTTCCCATAAAAATATTGCTCTTAGTTACTATGATTTCCAAATAAACAAGGACTTTTATATTTATATTTTTAACTATACTGATAATAGCCATTATTACGCTTGTCTTTTAACACTGGAATAATTAACTTTTTAATTTAGAGTCAATATCATTATGAATAATTTAATAATTATGCATGTTTTTTTATTGTATTTAAGTCAAAAGACTCGTAGTTTCAGCGTCAATTACAAAACAGTCGTGATAATGTACGTACTGTCGTACTATGGTGTCAAGAAAAATTTTCTTTAGCTGGTGTTTCCTCACGATAATTTCTATGGAGACAGGAGTAGGGTCCGTGGCAAGCCATCGTCAGTTATCTAGTTTTTACGACATCACCTTAAATCCGCTTGAAGAGTCATTCAGGTTTTATGAAATATGATATTGCGTATCACTAACTCACTTTTATGTCACACCTAACTCATGTTACTGTACTCTTATATACTGGCTATACAAGAATCGAGATATAGTTTAAAATCTATTATAGTACTAGCTTTCCTCCCGCAGCTTCGTCCGCGTGGAGTTCGGTTATATCGCGTTTCCAAGAGAACCTTTCAAAAGTCTGGGATAAAACCTATCCTATGTCCTATCTCAAGGTCAACTCTATGTCTGTACCAAATTTCATTAAAATCAGTTCAGTGGTTTAGGCGTGAAAGCGTAACAGGCAGAGAGAGTTCCTTTCGCATTTATAATATTAGTAGGAATGGTCAACTTGATATTGTTTTCGAGTTGTTGTAGTATTGGTCTTTTTATGGTCACACTACATACGATGCGTTTTCCGTTGACTGCACTAATAGTAAGTTATAAGAATGAAAAACTATTAACATTTTGTTAGTGCCATGATGATGAAAACTAATACTAAGGTATTTAAATGATGAAAATACTAAATGAGGGTAGTAATATATTTCTTAATAAGAATGATTAATCTTTTCTCTATATAGAATATAATGTCATTAGTAATTTGCATATATAAATCCTAAGATTATCAAAATAAATCACATTTACCAGATTAAAGTGTCCGAATATAAATGAGTTAGATCTCATATTATAAGATTAATTTAAAACTTTAGAAACACATTACATTACAATTATAATGCGTGGGTTTTCTTTGACATTGACAGTGACATAAGAAGAAACCAAATTATGACAGGAGTCAGAAAGATAGGTTATAATATGTAATTGAATAAAAGATTGTTACATTGGCTTTATATTTGGCTACTAATTTGGTATTTAACCTATATAAATTTCTTTATTTAACTATGGAATTCAACCTAAAAAACAATACAATAAATTATTATTAAATAAATTAGGATGTTATGTTAGTATTATTATTACATATAACAAAAGTAGATTGGAAATATGTATAAAATACAAAGTATTCCGTTTATTCAAAGATGCTGTTATTATAGTTAAAAATCGAAATAAGAGAGTACGAGTCTATTAAGCATTAGGCATATAATTTATACTTCTTTAAAATTAGTTGTGGGTTTTAAGGCTTTTTTTATAATAAAAAAAACCTATTGCTGTACCATATAATGGGTTCATAAAAATTGGATGCCGGCTAGCAATTGTAGCCATATTTCTTTATATAAGTGAGAGAAATTCTAGACTTCAACTTCATGATCTGTTTCTTTAAAATGAAGCCTACTTTTTAAAAGGTCTCTACCTCCGAAATTAACATTTCTCGAAGTTTTTTCGGTCTGTAACTAGGATACCTAGTTATAATAAAAAAATATTTATATGTCAACCAAATCTATAAAATCGAATATCTCGTTATATTAGTAATGATAATAATAATAATTCGTATACTTGTGATTTTAAAAATATATTATGTTGCAACCATTTTTATTGAGAATCATAGTTTTAATTGTTAAACCTGGGACAAGCTTGTCATGACATATAATAAATATTTCCCGTTTTTAATTCAATAACCCATGAAAATCAAATAATGTAGAATAAAAGTAATGAGAAGCAGTTTTTAATAAACGTTGATATTTTGTATGTTAAATAAAAAATAAACTTTATTGACTCAAGAAACATAACAAACAAATTGCAAGGGCCCCTGTACTAGGTGCAAACCCGTATTACTGGGTGCCCCGCTCATCCACTAAGACAACTAGAAAGTCAACAATGATTTTGTTACACAGATTTATAGTACTATCCTATTGAGCAGTGTAAACAAGTTTATAAAATAACTAGAAAAGTGTGTGTGTGTGTGTGTGTGTGTGTGTGCGCGTGTGTGTGTGTGTGCTTGTATGTGTGTGTATGTATGTGTGTGCATGCGTTTAAACATCTATTAATTTTATTATAATTGTGAAAGGTTTAGATTAATAATCAATTTTTCAGTTTCATCATAATTATAAAGGATTAGGATGCATTAATCACAGCCAGAATGTGTACGATCTGAAAACCAGTTAAATAGTAATACGAGGACTCAGTAACTTTGTAAAATATCTTTTAATTCAGGAACAGGAGTATTATTTAAATGTTTTTTTTATCATTGTTCTCGACTCTCGTAGACAAAGGAAGTAATTTCAGATGTGAGTGACCCGAACAATGGATGAATGAATATTATATAAACCAAATGAAATATTAGTGTGAAACGTCGCGTAATATGTACAAAATAATAGATTAGAGAATTCCGTTTGGCTGAAAAAAGGTTGGACCATTTGTTTCGACGGGACACTTTCTCCTGACAAATTGCCTGAAAGTAATTTTAAGCCCAAGATCAGTTATTTATGTGTATTACCAGCTTTATATTCGCACAGCTCGGACGAGACTGACATAAAAATAAAATTTTATATTAGCTCATATTATGTGAGGCTTTTAGCTTATTATTTTTAAAGCATAACTTTCATAGCCGCAGCACGGAGTATTCGATTCATGCAAAATGTTCAATATTAGTTTCTAGTCGACGTTGATAAGATTGATATATATTTTTATTAAACCGCAAATAAGAAAATAAAAGTATGTAAGCTCAATAAAAGTCATAACGTGTTTAGTACTGTCAGGCGACAGAAAAAATGTCGGGCCTGTCAGTGATTGAATTCTGTTTTTGCTGAGAGATCTTACGAGATATATTTCGATTCGTTGTCGATAAACGGTCTCATTGGAGATAATTTTTAACCCTTCTGGGACCCTTAACGCAAATTAGATGGCATCTTCGGGATGTTTTGACGCAAATTGGACAGGCGTCAAGACGGACTCGTTAGTGGGTATACTTGACGCGATTGGTGAGTCAGGGTTGGTACGTACATGTTAAAATTAAATAGGTACTACTACAAAAACTATCGTAGTAATTACAGTAGCAATTTTACAATACTAAATATAAAACGATGCATTCAGTTTTATTTTGAATTTGACAGCAACTAATATTATTTATCTGTTATAGTTTATAAACTGTCACAAATATGTTATTTAGTATGATCTGTGTAATTTTTTCGTAATATCCTCTTATTAGTGTTGATAGTTTATTAGTATTTTATCGCTAACCCTGAGCAATGTCTGGCGCAGGCCCGGCATTGCCTAATAAAGGCTCACGTATGAGATTTCAATTTGGTAGCTTTTAAGCCTTGATGCGAGCTTCAATTTTCTGTACGCTGGATGGATTTGACGCTGGTATTAAATTTAATATGGTATATGAGGTTTATTAATTCTATAACTTGATGTCGGGAAGATAAATTTAATCTATTACGACACGGAATGGAGGTTTTGTGTGATGTACCTATTATTAAAATGTTACGTTTGTCTTTATATTTGTATGTCAAGAATTTATTTTAGTACGATATTTCATATAAAAAATATGGCCATAGCATACTACGTAGCGAATAAATGAATAATACTGCAGCGGAATTTTTCATTCAAGTATAGGTACATACAAGAATCTTAGAAATGTCGAAACAAAAAGACTTTTCAACCGATTTGAATATTATCCTTATGACAAAGGAGCTAATTAAAAAGTATATTAGTGTTTTTATGTCTAAAATATTACCACTTAAAGTTATTCCCTAACAACATTGATTTTCCAAAAGGTAAAAAACGACGGTTACAATTTCATATTAAATCTGACGATTGTATTTAAGTGTGTGAGAATAAGTATTTTATTATATTTTCTAAATAAATAATTTGTATCAAGCGTCATACAAACACATTATTTTCAATGTGTTTATAACTTCAATCCTAGTATTGCTACTTTTCATATGTTTATAAAAGTTTACTGCACGAAATTCTTTTGAAATCTTTCTATTAATTTTAAAGGTGAAAATGTAGAAAGCGGTCAAATTAGGGCCTCGGATTGTAAGCTGAAAGTTATTCCAGCTCAATTACAGAACGGATTCGATCCATGTTCGCTCGGATCGCCTACATCTAGATTTGATTTGTTCTAACTAGACGCAATTTGTTCATTCTACGATACTAGCAATGATAACTATTTTATTACAATGTTATTATAGATAAATTTACGGTTTTTATATGTATTTTATATCTATCGACTTAATATATTGAGTTAATAATGGCGCTGTATAAAATAAAAAGTCATTGTGTATATGTATATTTTTAATGTTCCCGTTATTTCAATCCAAGATGGCGATTTTTTTATTCACTCAATATTACATCAAATCACATCAAAATAAAAAAATATCGATTCGAGAATTCGATATCATATAATATTAAATATAAAAATCAAATAAAATTATAAAATAAATGTGTAGTTTTAATTTTACGAGCACTGTGAATGCGATCGACGGGTTAATTTGGCCGACATTGCCAAGATCGGGGGGCGCTCGCACGGAAAATTGGTCGCCTTAACTATTTGATTACGTTCCAAGATCCCTTGTGAGGTTTTGGTAAAAATTACGTGATATGGTATCGAAATATGAGGTCAGGAGTCAGAACCCGATTGGCTACACGGTTTATCTTTCACCTTTCACGTGGAATTTCAGGATATATTGAATTATAACTTACGTGCCTTTTCTTTTTGCTGCTCATTTATTTACTTGTAAAGACTACCTACTATAGAATTCGATTAATTTAGATTATACATATATAGATGCGATTTTTGAGCTTTTTTTACCCCGTTTTTCCAAGGTGACAGAGCCTAGCTGTGGTCAAGTCACTACAGCTAGAACATAGGCTGGCTCGACCGGGGAAGTAGCACCCTCTCACAGAAGATCGGCGTGAAAATAGGCCGTCTGCTCGTTTGCCACGTTTCACATAAAATAACTTAACAGTTTCAAATAAATTAAGCATATCGTTTATGTATTTAATAAGTAAGAGTGTACAGTAAGTTACAAGTCACAAAACTTGTCCACCAATAGGAGTGTAAACTTACTAAAGTAACCATTAACTGAGTTAGTTACCGCAATTTAACTGGTCGTTACACTTGGGATTGTATATAATATATTACAAATATATAACTTATTTAATTACGAATAAAAATAGATAAGTGCTAGTGACTTATGGCTCCGTAGATATTAACAGCTTAATTTGCAGAGTAATTCTGTTAATAAATTATTTGGGTAATGATAAAAATAAAGAGCAATCTTATATCAAGGCAGAGTATATTTACTATATTAGGAGACCAAATTAAGCAAAGAAAATTGTCGTCTAAGATTTTCTGGTTTATATAAATATATCTTTATATATAATTATTGTATTTTAGGTATATAGGGGTACATAATATGCTATGTATAATCTAATAAATAAAAAATATGGTGTTACTTTAAATTGTTGTTCATACCCAAAAAGGGTAGTTTAGTCTAAGCTACTTGTCTAAATGAATCTATGATCTTTGGGTATACTTGGTTTCTCACAATTACAACACCACCCTAGCCAACAGTTAACGTCGGCAAATTTTTGTTTCAGAGGAACTAAAACCTTTGCTGAACATCTAGAGGGTGCCTGCTGTCTGAAAACCTTGTCCGTGCCTTATCAGCATTACATCAACCGTTTATAATCACCAAAAGTTGAGGAACAAACTACCATAGTACTGTTTGTAAAGAAAGTCACTGACGAAATGAGCAAAACCTTGAAGAAGGTCTAAATTAAAATAATATTAAACATGTAAAAAAGGGATCCAATTCTTGAGAGTAATTAAGAGAATTATTCCTTTACAATAAGTGAAACTAGATAAACGAAGAGGAACATCGGTGCAAGGGTTTAAGAATATATAAAAGATATTAAACACAGGCATACGTCCAAGTTAGCAGTGTGAACATACAGTGGACAATCCAAGCCATTGTATCTGTTTTGACGAACAGATACTTGGTTGCTCACACCAAAAACATAAAATCACATATCCGTGGACGCATAACCAGAAATCAAGACATAGTTAGTGGATTTTGTGTGCATACAGAACAGGGAGGAAATTAAGAACGAGTTGGTAGTAGATGATAAATAACAAGACTTACTGACAGACTTTCATCTTGTCTGTCCGTGATCACGGTTGCTACTTGCTGTAAAAAAGCCGAAACGTCAAAAGTACTGCACTAATTAGTAGCAAATAATATATCAAGATGTCTTTTAATACTTTATTTTTTTGGCGTTTATACATGAAAGTAATAAGAAAAAAACAACAAAGAAGATTTTTAAATATATTTTTTATATTCATATTTCAAGCCATTTAAGATAATAACAAAAACAATTGAAAAATTATTTCAAACAAGTCGAATTTGACATTTGAGCGGAAACTGAGAGCGGGAGTCTCGTAAAATTAATTAATATCCAAGGACGGGAAGGCCTTACATAATCAGGTCATACATGACATTCAATCAAATTCAAACTCCCAAGTTGTGTGTTGCTTAAACAATCTAATCAGAGCAAGTTTCCCAATTAAAGTTGAACGAGCATACGAATGTTCTGAGCCGAAAATGCATCCTGGGTTAACGCCTTGGGGTATAAAAAAGAGTTGAGACTTCAAACGCAACAATAGCATTAAAGTTAAGCATATTAACATTGCTTTCGTGAGATAACTTTGTGTTTATTGTTGAAATATTTGTTAGTTATATGTCTATTAAATTAGGTAATATTTAGGTAAAAATTAAGTTTTTATTGAAAGGAGCAATTAACACATGTTTGCATCTTCATACAAAATAGTTTCGTTTTTACATTCATATAACTTGTCACATGTAAGCGTAAGTAGGGCTGTGCAAAATTGTGTGGTTACAGCACACAACTTTCAGCCATACCGTCCAAAGAGGTTAATTAGAAAGATGACTTTAAAAAAAAACAAATGCTGTGTATTTGATAAAGATTGTTACATTTTCTAAATAAATATATCAATGTCTTGGTCTATTCATTACGAGTGCACGAAGTTTTATGTTATACTGCTCTTTCTTGTGCCGGACTCTCAAGACTCCTTTGTACGATACTCGACGCGAAACAATTAGTTCTGTGAACAAGTCTTTCATATGTACGTAACATTAGAATGCATTGTCTTTGAAAGTTCACTCAGTCATTGTAACTTTGGTATTCCTAGCATCCTTTGTAAATTAAAATTTTTGTGTTTTACATTCGCGAGTACCGTTTGAAACTATTCATTTCGATTCAACTATATCTGAATCAAAGTGTAATTATGTCGTACACGGTTTGTTACTGGTTGCATGTGAATTTTATTCATTTAGAATCGAAAAGAATATAATATTCGTTACTTACTATACACTGGAACTGTAATTAAATTAGCAACTTATATACAACGAAGCACCATGTATAATTTTAAAATGTTTTATATAAATAGCAACAAGGTAGAAATTTCCGATACAACGTTATTGTTAGTGAAATGGTAAAAAAAACCGATTATCTTACAAAGTTGTGATCAATAATAAGATTATCAAAAAATGTGAAGGACGCCGCACAAAGCCGGTAATTTTCGATTGTGATCTTTGAAAGAAGCGTAGCACCGTCGTCACCTGTCAACTCATTCGCTCTTGACAGAAATTTAATTTGTGAACCCGGATAACGTGCGATCAGAAATCAATGAAATATAAAATGTTCGGTGATCAGGTTATAGATTAAAAATATATTGAAACTATTACAAATATTATAAAAATTGGATAAATTTTGATAATTTAATTTATGTGTATAAACACGGAAGTCTATTTTTAATGAAGGGATAATCGGGATTATTTTTGTATTAAAGAGTATCTGACATTCTAGTTACATAATTTTTTAATTTGTAAACGTCAACGCCATTGATTTTAAATTACAACAAAATTAATTACGCACCTATCTATCTATTTATTTTACCGCATTGACAGCTTTAGAACTTTTTCAATTATCTCAACTTTAAAATTGTATCTAATTGAATTTTAGTAATTACAGACTATTGAAGGATAACCCAAAAATTTTAATTAACAATTCAGATAAATTGTAAGATGTGTAAATCACAATATTTGATATTACTCAGAGAGAAATGATGAAGTCGCTTCAGAGATAGCGAATGGATAATTTAGATTACAAACATCGACATCAAGTGATAGTTCAGCATCCGAAATGTTTTCAACTAATGAACGGATGTTTGTGACGTAATGAAAGATGTCATGTTCGTTTAACAGATTAATTATTATTGTCTGAGATGCCTTACCCAGGAAACAGATAATATATTGTTTTTTGTTTCAGTGACGTTACAAAGGCGTAAATATACTTCCATACAGATTATAAAGTGACAGTTATTATTTATTTTTAAATAATTATGTATAGAAAACTTGTTAAATATTTTGAACAGCATGAATCGTTGTCCAAGATATCATTATCAAGCCGATGCGGTTCTTCAGTCGTTAATTCAACTCAGATTTCTCTAACCGCACAATTGCGGGCTCAACAACAAATCTTGAGTTTTAGCAATTACCATGTAAATTTGCAAAGTTCGCGAAATAATTTAACGGGATGTAGACGGCGGATTCAAAACAATTTATATGTTAATTCTGCTACTATGGACTGGGTTTCTGTGCGCGGATAGCTGGAGTCTTAAACAGATATGTACTTACATATGACGACGAAATCAAACTTATGAATAATCAACAATAGAATTAGACGCCCTACCTGCCTGTATTCGTGTTGTGTAGATGGCCCTCTCTATGAAATGACAAATATACTGCTGTTTCCGTTACGAAGTAATTATATAGAATAACTTAAAAGTACTTACTACAAGCGGTGAAGATGATAATATCCTTTTTTTCACCATATGTACCTACTTTTACGATGAGTTTACACTTACGTTAAACATATCTTATGTATCTACATATATTCTTTATATATAACAAAGAGTCGTGTTAGTTACACTATTTATAACTCAAGAACGGCTGTAGGTATATGGTTGAAAATTGATGGGAGGTAGGTTATAACCAGCAAAGGCCTTAAGAGATTTAATTCTGTTTGATCGAAAAGAAAA